CTTGTGCAGCGTATGGGTAGTGTGACCTAGGGGGCAGCTAGATGGCCCTGTGGTTAGAATGATGGGCGTGGAGTTCAAATCTGGCCTCAGACAGCTGTGTGACCCTGGGCCAGTCACTTAACCCTGTTTGCCTCAATTTCCTCATGTGTAAAATGAGCTGGAGAAGGAAATGGCAAACCACTCCAGTATCTTTCCCAAGAAAACCCCAAACAGGGCCATGAACAGTCAGACATGACTGAAACGACTGAACAACACAATGATTACAACAACAATAACAATAACAACAAGTGGGAGCTAGTACCTAGAAGATAATCTGTAAGATGCAGATTTGGTGTGACATGGTAAAGAAAGATGAGGACACAAAATTTCCTGGTGTGCTACACTAATTATAGGGTCCAGAATTTGTCTCACTTGAATGTAAATTAACTTAAGCCACAGACAGCTGAACTTAGCAATTCATCTTCTAAGTAAAAATGGGAACAAAACAGGTATTTATACATAAGATCTGTAAAGATAGCATCTTTTATGACCAAATTCAATGTCACGGCTGATCAAGTCTCTGAACACCAAAAATCCACTAGATCACATTAGAAAGCCATAAATAATGAGTTTATTGCTTCCTCAAAAGAAATTGAGAAGAAAAAAAAGGCACAAAAAAGTACCTTAACCCACTGAACAGGGGAGGAGGGGGTTATCCCCACATCGCGTCCACTCTTAGTAATACATTTACTAAAATTGCTTGCGTAAACGAGTTAAGTTTATGTGTTTTTCCTTTATGGTGCCTTATACCCAACTAGCTGGGAAAGTCTGTAGCATAATTGCCATAATATTTCATTTTTATAGTGAGCTTTCTGTTTCCGTCTAATTGCAGACGTCCATACGTGCACATGCCCACTCTCTACCTTCGTCGCTCATTTTTCTCTTTCCTGTGTTGCTGCTGCTGCTGCAGCCCTTTTGGGATTCTGACTTGGGAGAAGAGCTATTATGACAAGCGCTCTGAATAGGGAGTGTCTGAAAGGCCTGTAATTCTTACATTTGGACCAAATAGAGACTAGAATTTAGTAAAACTGGCTTTTCCAGTTAAGTTACTTTTATATGTGGAGCGAGCCGATTTTGTGTGTGTGTGTGTGTGTGTGTGTGTGACTGGAAGGTAGTGTTACAAAAGAGTTGCCCTTATTGTTATAAACAGGCAAAGCAGAAGTCTTCTTAAAAATCTAAGTTTCTGAAAGCATAGTCTGACAGGCCATCATACATACGTTTTTAAAAGTGACAGCAAATACTACATATATGTAATGGATGAGGCATGGGGGAAAGGATTTGCAATACAACAGGAAAAAACCCATAGCTCTCAGAGGTCAGGCTGCAAGATTATATGCTTCTGATAGGCATACGTTAGGAGATTCACCTGCAAGGCATTCCAGGAATTGTCCTTTTTCTCATTTTTAATTAAGGAGGAGGTGGTTCTATTCTAAGGACTATACCTGGAGACAGCCTGCTGAAACTCAAATTTTGATCTTCCAGCTCTGGTTAGCTAACATTGATTTTCTGCCCCAGTGGAAGTGATTTTACTCTGATGCATGCCATTTAAATTCATTTTACACAGCTGCTTAATGTGGCTTGGCACGGAACACCCAAACCAGCTTTGTGCGTCTAAATGGGACTCCAGAGTTGGTAAAGGACAGATCCTATGGATTAGTAGCTGATGATAAATGCTTCTTTCTCCACACTGATTTCTTCCTACTGACTCAGGCACTGACCTTGAAGGGTACTGCTATAAGAGACAAAATTTTCTTACTATAGTTGGGTGTGCTACAATAAATTTTATGTCTATTTTTTTTTAGTCTTCATTTAGAGATGTTTTTAGAATTCAGAAGATAGTTTTGCAACTAAAGTTATTTGTCTCCAAATGTAAGCTAAATGCAAAACTTAGAAAATAGATGACAAGAAGTATTTCTGACAAGTGGCAATAGCAAAATTGAGCACTAACAGGACTTGTTAAAGAATTTCCTATCCTCCACCCCCCCCCCAATCACTGAGGGCCTCCCTCCCAATTACCTTTAAAATATTTAAAATAGCCACTGGACATTACTTCCTATATGAGGAACAATTATATCTAGACTAACTTCAGAACCACAAACTGAAATTCCTAATTGGTCAATGATTTAGTAACAATATACTGTAGACTACAAATGGAGACAGTTTTTGATATTAAAGGCACCTGCTCATAGAGAAAGAGTTGGGAAGAAGGAGAAATTGAAATAGCAGCTATTTGTCCTAAGTGAAATTATGTGATACATAATGCTTATGTTGTAATTGATAATAATATGGCAGCAGAGAACTTAGAATGTAAAGGATCTAGTTGGAAAGGAAAATGTTAATTGTGTTTTATGAGTTGTTTTTGTCCCCACCCCACCCCCTGGTTACTTCTTCAGGTTTAAAACTCCTTGGGAAAGGGAAATTAACAAAAATCTTTGGAACAGACATTTGCTCAACAATGATATAATGAAATCCCTGAAGTCCCATTAATAACCTTTGTCATCTCTACAGCAATAAGTCTCTTGTCAAACAGGACAGCTACACTCTGAATTAAGCGATGAGAGAAGGGGTTCACTGCAGTGGTAGTAATGATAATAACACACTAATGATAACAATGTCACACAGCACAGTTCCTAGACAAAACAACGACAACAATGGGGGTAAAAATGATGCCTGGATTGGGTGACTTCATTTCTCTTCTGTGATAAAATTCTTAATTTCCCTTTCAGGCATGAGGGAGAAGCAGCATGCCAAAAGCCGTGCAGGGGCAGTATCTACACGGGGGTAGGTGGCATGCAGATTTTCACCGCACTGTTACAGAACTGTTAGTAGGAATGAAAAACTGAAACCAAAACCAAAACCAAAACAAAACAAAACAAAAAAACCCCAACCCCCTCTGTGATGCATTTCCTCTTAAATCTTTTAACTTTTTTGGGGATTGATATTTCTTCAGCAGCCATATGGCATATCATAAACAATTTCAAAAAGGAAAAAAAAAATAACAAACAAAAAAAATAACTGCAAAGGTCCCACAGCAAGTCCAGTTTATGTTACTACCTACCCGTACTGGTCAGGCTGGTGCATCATGGGAGCCTGAGCGTTGCCATAGTTGGGGTGCTGGGAAGAAAACATGGGACGTCCGCCAGCCCCAGACTGGCTGGGATAAGCAGGCGACCTAATGTATGGTGGCCTAAAGCAGAACAGAAGAACAGCCTCTTTGGATTTATTCTGAAGCACACGTAAGAATCACCCTGTCCACTACATGTCTTCCATCTTTCAAGTGAGGGAAGGTTTGCAGCATGAGTTCAAATGGCTTAATGTTTTGCACTACACAACTGGACAGAATGCGAGACTGAAGAAAACGGTTATTCTGGTTTTGTTTTTTTTTACTAAACCCTCTAAGGGCCTGTTAACTATGTAATGCTCTTCCAGTTCCTGGATTAATAAAATGGGAAGCAGGCTTTGAAAATGTGTACTTTTTAACTAGCCAAAGATATAAACTGCAAGCAAATATTGATGTGTGTGTCTACGTATATACACACACATATAAATGGACTTAGGAAGAAGCATATCATATACATGTATGCACATGTATAAATAAACATAAATTGATTCGAGAGGAAAATTGTTGGAGATGGGAATGAATTAATGTTTTAAATTTTTTAGTCTAAGATAGACATCCCATCCTTCTAATGGTTTCCCACTTACTGAAGTTATCAGGCAGATCACTATTCAATGTTTCATGTTTAATGAATTCAATTACTTTTTTTTTAATAATTTTAAAAATGTCTTGGCTCTCTACATCCACTATCACTCAAAAAAGGGAATTCTTTTCTTCATGATTTGCAGTAATGGGCAACTCAATACTTTAGTCTTTAACATTAACGGGAACAATCCAATCAGCCTTTTCATAGAAAATCTAATTGAAAGATCTTCTAAAGTCCTATAGGTGTGGGGGTTCAGAGAAACACTTCTTGGATCCAGTAGAGTTTAAATAACAATAACGTAGATAAAAACAGATGAGCTATTATAATAATTCTTGAAGGGAAATTTATTATCATTTGAGGCAGACAGCGTGACAGCAGGGGTCCCTACATTCCCAAAGTAGCACGCTTTAGAAAAGAAGTAACAAAGCAATACATTTAAAAAACAAATTAGACCCTATTTTTCTTCAATAGAAATTGTAATCATCTCTGTCTTATTTCTTCCCCCCAAGAACGCAGCTCAGGTACATACGTCTCAACCATCCCTTGTTTTGTAGTCTTCATTTAAAACTTAAATTTACCCTTTATTAAAATCAAATAGATACAGGATGTCCCAAAAGTCTCAGTGCAGTTTAAAGTTTTGGGATAGGCTGTATTTTTAAGGTATATTACATTCATGAGAGTAAAATAAATTCTAGAATTCTTACTTTACTTATGAAACAAGTTTGGTTTTGTAAAAGGAATCAAAGCTAAAAGACCCTATTTGTGTACCATTAATTACATTTGTGCTCGGGTGGATTGAGAAG